AGCTAGATTCCTATTGGCTATTGCACTTTGCAATAACCAATAGCAAACTAGGTAATGTACCCGCCCACTGCTGCTGTCAATCAGCAGAGGGGGACCTGAATTTTTCTATCAGGTCCTCTTCTGGTGATTGAAAGCAGCAGAGGGCGGGTGCAATAGCTAGTTTGCTATTGGCTATTGCAAAGTGCAATAGCTAATAGGAATCTAGCTATGCAAAGTGCAATAGCCAATAGGAATCTAGCTATGCATTCTTATGCCTTTTTAAAAATATTCTGACGACTGCAGCTGTCAGAATACTAAAAACAAAATCAGAAAAAAAACCTGCAGATAGCAAAGAAGCTATTGCTTCCTGTGCTATCTGCCATCATTTCAGGGGGGTGCTCTCTCCCAGCCCCCCTAACCCCCCTCCGCGGATGGGGGGGGGGCGTAGAGGGCAATCTCCCTGAAATGAGAAGGACACCTCCCTGAAATGGCTTCTTTCAGGTTGGGATCCCTGATAATGTTATATTGTTTGTCACAACACCTGTAAATCTGTGTTGCTGAACAGCTTGGTCTACAGGCAAATGTGCAGGAAAATATAAATAAAGGTTTTTGAAATGAACACAGGAACTCATATGCCAAATATTATCAATAGGCCCCGTTCAAGCCTCAGTCTGTGTCCAGGTGCGGTCTTACATCATGGGGCCTTACAGGTATTGACCACATACGGTTACCAGAACACAATAGTTTTTGCTATATTGGGCCTTTAACCTATCCCATAAACCCTTTAAATGTATCTATGGTCACAAGCTAAAACTAAATCCGTATTTCTTTATTGAATTTCCATACGAATTTCCATTCCTATCCCACTCCTAATAACCAGATCCATCTAGAAGTCTGTAAACTGACTTATTGAAGATGCCCACAGGATGGACTTCCTCAATGCACTGACACAATTTGCACCTCTTTGTGTCATCACTGTCACAGAGCCTGCCCTCTGAACTACAACTCAACATCTGAACAATGTAACAGCATCATTGTTTGCTGGAAGCAATGCATGATGGGGTATGTAGTCTTGAGAAATGGAGATTGCATCACATCAAGCAGCCGGGAAAGAGAAGCAAAGCACACTGGGAATGCAGGAAGGTGGTGAAAGTGATGGGAGACGGAAGGCAGCACTCACTACACTTTTTTTTAATGTCAGCTTTGATTGCATTATCAGAAACAACTCTACTATGTATTCCAATTACAATGCTGATGTTATACCAGGAGAGGATATGCTCGGACTTTGCAACGCCTTTAATTGCAGCCTGCAGGGGGTTTGGAAATGTACTGGACCCATACAGAGGCAGGTGACACCAAGCTAAGACTAGTACAAATAAACATAGAAATAAGTGACAATGGCTCACAATGAGCGGGCTCTGCCAAGAGTAAATGTAGATCTGGCATGAAATGTCACCAAATGCTGGCCTAAGCCTTCACAGCTCAGCGAGATAATGACATGAATTGTGGCTGCACCTCAACCATTAGACAGAGTTGTAACACAAACTAAAAAAGCAGGGTATCTAGACCCCAAAACAAAAAATTTAATATACTGCAGAGTACTGAGCACCCTGCTGGCCTCTCCCCCCAGCTATTATCTGCCTGCAGTGGCGTAACAACCGGGGGTGCGGGGGGGTCACTTGCCCCGGGCGCAGGACTGAGGGTTAATGTGCAGATAAGCAGATCAGATTTCAGCTTTAACTTTTGAGGAACGTCATCAATAAAATGACTGAAGCAGAGAGAAAAGTGAGATCCGCGAGGAGATTAGAAGGCTGTGGACTTCTTTTCAGAAGAACTACCATCTTCGGAGTTTCTATTCCAACTCCAGTTGTATTAGGCTGCACTAAACCCCCTTGTTCCCCTGGGAATAGGACCCTGGTCAGAGCTCTTCCTGTAAACTAGCATAGTCAGGACAGCTGGGGTGGTTAGTAGGGAGATAAGTGTCGTGATTTTCGGCAAATTTGATTTAGCCCAAAAAAATACTGATTTTGCAATAACAAATGTAAATTTAATTTTTTTTAACTACTTTTTTTTCTTTATTTATTGTGTGGTTTCTGTATATTTTGAGTAGTTTAATTCCCATGCTCAGTGTTCTATGTATTTGTGTCCACCCCCCTTTTTTTTGTTATTCTGTCTGTTGTGCTTTGTCACTGTAATTTTTTTTATTTTAGTATTTATACTGTCTTTTTTGTTCTTTCTAAAACAAAGGAAAAGTGATACTGAAGTAAATGAGGGGTCCTTCCCCCACAAAAACAGGTCCGGGATGGTTGAGAGGAGTTTTGGCAACCCTCAGGACCCATTTAAAGCCCATTGATCCCTTAAAAACTGTCAAAAACCTTCCCCATTGACTCTAACGCATCCCTTTAAAATGACAAAATTTTACCAAATTCTCCTGATTCTCACCGAAATTTTGGGAAAAGGAAAGTATCTGTTACTGCTCATGCATTGTAGTGATTTTGCTGAACTTGATGTCGCTGTGAAACAGCAACTCGACCCCCACCAAAATTATGTCAAAATAACTTTCTAATTCCCTATGCGGTACTGGTTAGCGAGTTGGCTTAGAAAAAAAAAAATCCCCGACGTTGTGTGGCTTGGCTTTGGCCTCTTAAAACCACCAAATGCTGAGTAAAACTGGTTCCTCCTCAAAGAGCTCTCTGCAATTCTTCATGAACCTTTTTCCAAATTTACAAAAACACGGACGCCTTGGATCAGCCCGAATTGAATCCAGCCCAATAGGACATCACTATTTCTAGTCAACGGGAAAACGTTTGGATCAACCCTTCAGCCCCCCTTCTTTTCTTTATTCCCCATCTATGTTTCAATCTCGCTCTACCCCCTTCCTCTATTATCTTCATTTCACTCATTGCCTCTGAGTCACAAGAGCGGGCGTCTAACTTGTATACGTGGTCCAGGCCCACAAACTGGGTACCC